CAGCGGGAGGCCCCATTAGCTAAAGTGGTGCTTTGGGTTAAGAATAGTTTCGGGTTAAGAACGGGCCTCCGGAACGAATTAAGTACTTAACCCAAGGTACCACTATACTGTTTCAGAAAGTGCAAATTAAGCTTGGGCCACCTTTAAACGTAAACCAGACTGCCTTTCTGCTCTATCCCTAGTCAGAAATACGCTTGGTCAAGCTAGAAAAGGAAACAGTTGTCCTACTTTCCCCAACTGCCGCTGATTATTCCCCATCAAGTCCCATTGTCCTGTGTGCACGGGGACATGCTCTCTCATTAAGAACTGGGAATTGTTTGGTGAGCGAAGGCGCAAGAGGAAAGTCCATTGCTTTTCAGAGTGTGAGGCCTCCTTCCCAGCCTTCGGAAAGATCACTCTGTAGCTTTCCCCTCTTTTCTCTCCCTTTTGTGTGTGTGGAGGTAATTCCAAAGGGCTTTAGAAGCTCCTACAAGATAGATGAAAGAGTTAAAACCCTCAGCGCTGCCTGTTAATTCTTTTTGGGGGGCAGGAGGGGGGAAAAGAGAGAACTCTACATAGCGGTGGGAGGGGAAGGTGACTCCGCCAAGCAGAGAAACCTTTTGAGTGGCTCATTTGGGGAGCGCTCCGGGAGGATTCGCAAAGCCGAGATGGCCAACAATTTGTCCGGAAGTCAAGAGATTAGCCTGAGCTGTATCAGACTCGCCACTGGCTATTCGCTGGCTGTTGGGTTCTGATCGGAATTGACAGTGGCTCTGAAGTTAGGGGGATAAGAACGGGAGCCAATTCCTCACATTTCTGAATGTGAAATCTGGAGTCCAGACTGCTCGAAGTTTTGCTTTGCTTTCTTTCTCCAGCTCGAAATGGGGAAACACACTAAGAAGTGTCAGAAAACATGAAGGCATATCAGCAATTTCTGCTTGGGTGACTCCCATCAACTCGGATGATGGACAGCCAGCATAGATCTTTGTGGAGGATTGGACAGAACAGAATTAATCTATCCCACCCTCCCACCCCTTTTAAGGGGACGTGCTAATAAATATAATTATTTATTATTATATAATTATTTATTATTTATTTTATTCTATTTATTCTATCTATTCTATTCCATATACTGCCCTTTATCCAAAGATTCTGTGGTGGTGTACAGCATTAGAAGCACACGACAGAACATCCATGATAAAAACATTATAAAAAGCATATTGACAGACAGCCTAATAATAAAATACAGTCGTACCTCGGAAGTTGAACGGAATCCGTTCTGGAAGTCTGTCTGACTTTCAAAATGTTTGGAAACCAAGGTGTGGCTTCCGATTGGCTGCAGGAAGCTCCTGCAGCCAATAGGAAGCCTTGGAAGCCTTGCCGGATGTTCGGGTTCCAAAGAACGTTCGCAAACCGGGACACTCACATCCAGATCTGTGGCATTTGGGTGCCTAAACATACGAGTGCCAAGGCGTTTGGCTTCCAAGATATGACTAGTCATCATAATGTACAACCCCTCCCCATCTGTACAGAATCTCCCACACTACTTGTAGCTGGAGCATTTTTCTAAACTTCTTCTTTTTAAATTAAAAATCAGAGGCAAATCTTCACTCTTACATAGGAGCAGAACTCATGACAGCAGGACTCATGACAGCATGGTTAAGAGAGGCACCATCAGGAACTCGAGACTGAGAAATGAATAGGCTTGGAAGAGTGCATGGTTAAACCAGTGCTGGATTTACGTATAAGCTAAACAAGCTATAGCGTAGGGCCCTACTCTCTTGGGGGCCCCCAAAAAATGTAAAGGAAAAAACCTGAATGTACATTTCCAAAATATAAGACAAAAGACAAATAAAATAAAACCTACATACAGCAACAGCGTTTTGTGTTGTGGAGGTTCCTATTTGTTATGTGCAAATGGCTTTAGTTACTTATTAGGTCCATAAATTACCATACAGCATATATTCAACACAAAAAAGCGGCCACAATTTGTTGTTGACAAAGGACAGCTGGACATATAAAGGGCCCCATTACCTTCAGTAGCTTAGGGTCTCATCAAACCTAAATCCGGCCCTGGGTTAAACTATGGAACTTGCTTTCACAGGAGGCAGTGACAGCCACCAACCTAGATGGCTTTAAAAGAAGGATACTGGCATCTACTCACGATGGTGGCTGTGCTCTGCCTCCACAGTTGGAGGCAACAATGCTTTGGAATACCTGTTGCTGGAAACCACAGGAGAAGAGAGGGCTCTTGTGTTTGGCTCCTCCTTGAAGGTTTCCCATTGGGGCATCTGGTTGGCCATTGTGAGAACAGGATGCTGGACTAGGTGGGCCATTGGCCTGATCCAGCAGGACTCGTCTTATGTTCTTCAGAATATGTGGCCGCTCATAATGGGAGAGAGCCCCACCAATGCCTCATCCCTATAGGACAGGCATCCCCAAACTCGGCCCTCCAGATGTTTTGGGACTACAACTCCCATTATCCCTAGCTAACAGGACCAGTGGTCAGGGATGATGGGAGTTGTAGTCCCAAAACATATGGAGGGCTGAGTTTGGGGGTGCCTGCTATAGGAGGAGGGATGGGTTAGCCATCCTTAGAATTCCCCACTTCCCCTAATTTTGCAGTGCTGTTCTCCAGCCAAGCAGCGTGTACAAAAATGCATCTACTAGGGTAACATGCACATATAAACACACAGATTAGTGAAAATATCACATAAAGATGCACAGCGTCAGGGCAACTGCTTTGCAAAAAAAGAGAGAAGTGCATATTAGGGAATTGGAGGAGAAATCTGCAGCAAAGTGCTGATGTATTTTCACAGGGCTGTATATTTATTTTTTCCCTATTGCGATTTGGTGTGTACAGTCATACCTCAGGTTAAATACACTTCGAGTTGAGCGCATTCGAATTGCACTCCGTGGAAACCCGGAAGTAATGGAGCGCGTTACTTCTGAGTTTTGCCACTTGCGCATGCGCAGACGCTCAAAATGATGTCACATGCATGCACAGAAGCGGCAAAAAGTGACGCGTGCATGTGCAGATGTGCCATCGCTAGATGCGTTTACCTCTAGATGCGAACGGGGCTCCGGAACAGATCCCATTCATATCTAGAGGTACCACTGTATATGTGGGGAACTGAATGCCAGATTGGGAAAATGAGAAACTGAGAGAAGCTGAAATGGACAGATGAGCCCATCCCTGCCAGCAGTGAGCAGTAAGGCGGGGAGAAAAATATTTGTGACTGCCATGCTATGGGCTGCTGTGACATCAGTAGCTGATCAGCCAATCCTCTGCCTCTGCCTTCTCCCCTATTTGCGTGCATGAGAATCTGTAGATTTCCAACATTCCCACCATTTGTTGGCTACCTTAAAGGTTCTTTCCTTCCTTCCTTGAGATTCACCTTTGGCTCTGCTGTCTGCATCTGGGCTCCCGCTCCCAAATTATATCCAGTATAGTATGACACACTGATGTCGAGGAAGAAGGTGGACGGGTGGGGGAAGAGGACGGCACAGAGAAATTAGGCAAGCTTCCTTTGAACAGACCTCAGCTAATTAGATGAGGGGAGCAGGAGTACCAAGTGCCCATCAACAAAAGAGGAAAGAACCCCCCTCACCCCGGAAAACGAAGAGCAACTGCGCCTGTGTTTTCATTCTCCCTTCCTCATGTAAGACAAGCTATTTGCAAGGCGGAAATTGCTTAAGAATGCCAGGCCCATTATTCCAGCGTGAGTCTCGCAGGAGGGCCACTTTCTATGAAGGCAAGGTCACCCTAGACAGCCACTTGAGGCAGACTCCAGCTTCTTCAGAAAATTAATTAGGGAAAGGAGCGGAGAGCATTGAGTGCCCGGCGTGGGGCGGGGTGGTCGGGGGCGAGGGGTCAGGGTCACCACTAAAACACTGAGGCCTGTTTTGATCCTCGAGGAGAACAGAAGAAAGCCAAACTATGTCTCCCCATCTGAATTTTGCAAAATGCATGCTGTTGACTTTTCTCATTCAGGTTGTAAAAAAAAACACACCTTCACTCTTCTAAGGTTGAGCTTCCTTTTCCCTTTTTTTAACGGACACCCAAGCTGGAGGGAAATTGAGGTAGTGTCTCCTTCCATGTCTAGAAGTTACACCTTTGTTTATTTGTTTATTGCATTTATAGCTCACTTTTCCTCCAAGGAGCTCAAGGTGGTGGGCATGCTACTCTGCCTCCATGTTTTATCCTCACAACAAGCCTTCTTGGTGCTTCCCAGGCATGGTCCATGATCTAAAGCTCTGGAGCTTGGCCTGTGAAAACCTGCTCTCTAAAGCTCAGTTGGAGTCAATAGAAATCTGTGGAGCACCCAAATTGTCATTTGTTGTGCTTCAGCTTTCACAGGGAAAGCTCTGGGGCACAAAAGAGAGAAAAAGAATGCTTGGAGTGTAGATAAGCCCTTCATCTCACTGTTGCCCCTTGTAGACTTCAGCAACAAGGAAGATGGGGAAGGCAAAACGATCTGGCATTGTCCTCAGCTCTCATTGTCTCCAGCTCCCCTGTCTGTTGGGCTCCCTGCCTTCCATTCCACAAGTCCCAGAGGGAAACCAACCACCGTTGATTCCAGCAATGCAAAACCAGAAGCTTCTGTTTTCTACTCACTCAAAGTCTGTCTTCCATCCAAGCGAACAAGAGCCACCATCACTAATCAAGGCTCCATTCAAGCCAGGGAAAAGCACCTGAAGAGGGAGCAGGGAAGAGCTGGTGAAGGATGGAGCCTGTGGGGAAGGGGCGGGGCCTGGGGAAAGTCCCAAGGGCCAGCTAGAAAGGCCTGAGGGACCACATTTCGCCCACAGACCTGAGGCTTCCCTCCCTGGCACCACTGAATGTCCTACACGTGAATGCCCAAACCATGAATGCCCTACATGTGAGTGATATGTGACCAGGGCCCAGGGACAAGGACTTATTGCCAGGGACACGAACCGGCAATTATCATAGAATTGTAGAGTTGGAATGGATCCTGAGGATCATCGGATCCAATCCCCTGCAATGCGCAAATATGCAGTTTTCCCATACAAGGATTGAACCTGAAACCGTGGCATTCTCAAGCACCATGCTCTAACCAACTGAGCTATCCATGCACTGATTAATGCAGTTAATAATAATAATAATAATAATAATAATAATAATAATTTATTATTTATACCCCGCCCATCTGGCTGGGCTTCCCCAGCCACTCTGGGCGGCTTCCAACAAAAGATTAAAATACAGTAATGCATCAAACATTAAAAGCTTCCCTAAACAGGGCTGCCTTCAGATGTCTTCTAAAAGTCTGGGAGTTGTTGTTCTCTTTGACATTTGGTGGGAGGGCGTTCCACAGGGCAGGTGCCACTACCGAGAAGGCCCTCTGCTTGGTTCCCTGTAACTTGGCTTCTCGCAGTGAGGAAACCGCCAGGAGACCCTCGGCATTAGAGTGGCTGGGGAAACCCAGTCAGATGGGCGGGGAATAAATAATACATTTTTATTATATAAGTATTATTAGTGACCACCTTGGCTGGAAAATGTCCTTGGACTGTGCTGCTGCTGCTGCACCTTTCATATACCAAACTTGTATTTGCCACTTGGAAGCATTGGCAGAGCGCCCAAAGCGGCGCCCGCAGGGGCGGGGCTAGCCACCTATGGGGGTGCTCTGGCAGTGGCGAGCTTCCTGTGGGGGTGTGCCTGCAGCAACGAGTTTCCCACAACGGCGCTGGCACCCCTGGAGGGCAGATTTCCACGATTGGCGCCACGAAAATCCGCCTGCTGATCGCGCAAATACACCCGGCCGCCGGGCCTATTTGAGCAACCGCCGGTCGGATTTTCGCAATTGGCGGGTGGCTCAGGCACCCCTGGCGGGCAGCGCTGACCCCCCACCCACCGATCGCAAAAATACGACTACCGATCGTGAAAATGGACCCAGCGGCCGGGTGTATTTGCGTGATCAGTGTGCGGATTTGGGCAACGGTTATTGTGCCAATTGCAGAAATCTGCTCGCTGGGGTGTAAATGCCGCCATGCCGATCCACCCGGGGGGATTTAGTCACCCCCTGGCATGACACCCGGGACATTTCCTTATAGGGTGGCCTGAAGTTCCCATGAACGAAAAGAGGGGCTTCCTCGTGCCATCTAGTGGAGCAGGCCTGTCGTGCTGCTCTTTGCTTCTCAGCAATCTTTGCAGATTATATTGACGACGGACCTTTTTAATGCTGTTTTCTTCTACCTTGGCCATGGTGCTTGTAGCCTAGTAAACATGATTGTGTGAAGAGCTTCCATTTACGTCAGCTCCAGAAATACCCAAGATGAGTGCTGCACAAGAGAAAAGAAATATGTGTTGTATGGCGATCTGAAGTGGATTTATTGAAGCTGGCTTTGTTCTTTGAGACGCAGAGCTGGGCAGCAAGTATTGGAGGAGTTCCTGAAGGGCTTATATTAAAAAGCACAAATTGGCCTTAATTATATAGGGGCAAGCAGGTTGCGCTTACAGTTATTACTCTGCTTCCCCTGCAAAAAAAGCAATCTTTTCAGATATTTAACCATCTTAGACACAGCATAAAAAGTATCACACACACACACAATTTATATACCACTTGATTTTAGTAAAACCTCCAAGTGATTTACAACATTAAAATGATCAATAAAAAAACCAGGCTAAAATACATTTAAACATAATTAAGATCAACAGTAAAATAGATTAACGTGCCTGGATAGGCTTGCCTCAACAAAAACGCTTTAAGCAGGTGCTGAAAAGGGTACAGGGAAGGTGCCTGTGCAATGTCAAGTGGCAGGGAGTTCCGTGTGCTGCCACACTAAAAGATTCATTTATTACAACTTTGGAATATTTTGTGGCCCCTGCAATGATGCCAGTTCTGCAGATCAGAGCAGCTGCGTGGGCACATATGGACTAAGGTGATCTTGTAAATATTTAGGAACCTAATACTGAGTTACACCCTTGGCCCATCTAACTCATGGGTAGGCAAACTAAGGCCCGGGGGCCGGATCTGCCCCAATTGCCTTCTAAATCCGGCCCATGGATGGTCCGGGAATCAGCGTGTTTTTACGTGAGTAGAATGTGTCCTTTTATTTAAAGTGCATCTCTGGGTTATTTGTGGGGCATAGGAATTTGTTCATTCCCCCCCCCAAAAAAATATATATATAGTATGGACCTCCACAAGGTCTGAGGGACAGTGGACCGGCCCCCTGCTGAAAACGTTTTCTGACCCCTGTTCTAAGTCATTGTTGTCTACACTGATTGGCAGGGGCTCTCCAGGGTTTCAGACAGGGGCTCTCCCCAGTCTGGAGATGCCAGGGACTGAAAGTGGGACCTTCTGCATGCAGACCAGGTACTCTGACACTAAGCTGGAAGCCGTGGGAAGGGAGGCAGAGTGCTCTTGTGTTCGTGTGCTGCTTGCATGTTTCTTTTTTTTTTTAATAATATTTATTAATTTTTCCAAAAACTTAAACACTAAAAAGACAATACAATACAATACATTAAATTAACAAAACAAAACAAAAACAATAAAATAAATCAAACAAATTCATTATCCCATCTTTCATTCACTTCTTTCCACGACCTCCTCACACCTCCCTTTTTGTATTCCACTTCTGTTAATTATTTCAGCAATTCCTTTCCATCTTCCTCTGCTTCCTATCCTATAATTATCTTAACTCATTCTAACCTTATTTTTTCCTTTAGTGCTCTATTAATCTATCTGTACTTAATTCCTTAGAACGTTTCTACTAAAGCCATATAACTTCATTCCAACATTTTTCTAACATTCATTAATTTTGCAATATTTTTGTAAATAGTCTTTAAATTTTTTCCAATCTTCTTCCACCGACTCTTCTCCCTGGTCTCGAATTCTGCCAGTCATTTCTGCCAGTTCCATATAGTCCATCAACTTCATCTGCCATTCTTCCCAGGTGGGTAAATCTTGTGTCTTCCAATATTTTGCGATGAGTATCCTTGCTGCTGTTGTTGCACACATAAAGAAAGTTCTATCCTTCTTTGACACCAATTGGCCGACCATGCCCAGGAGAAAGGCCTCTGGTTTCTTCAAAAAGGTATATTTAAATACCTTTTTCATTTCGTTATAAATCATCTCCCAGAATGTCTTAATCCTTGGGCATGTCCACCAAAGGTGAAAGAATGTGCCTTCAGTCTCGTTACATTTCCAACATTTATTTTCGGGCAAATGGTAAATTTTTGCAAGCTTGACTGGTGTCATGTACCACCTATAAATCATTTTCATTAAGTTTTCTCTTAGGGCATTACATGCCGTAAATGTCATACCTGTGGTCCATAACTGTTCCCAGTCAGCCATCATTATGTTATGTCCAACATCTTGTGCCCATTTAATCATAGCTGATTTCACCGTTTCATCCTAAGTGTTCCATTTCAACAGCAAGTTATACATTTTTGACAAATTCTTAATTTTTGAATCTAACAAATCTGTTTCCAGTTTTGATTTTTCCACTTGGAAACCAACTTTTTTGTCCAAATTGTATGCCTCCATTATTTGGTAATAATGGAGCCAATCTCGCACTTTATTTTTCAATTTTTCAAAGCTCTGCAATTTTATTCTGTCTCCATCTTGATCCAGAATTTCCCAATATTTCGGCCATTTGGCCTCCATATTGAGTTTTTTCTGTGCCTTCGCTTCCATTGGTGACAACCATCTTGGGGTGCTGCTTGCATGTTTCTAGTAAGGCCTCTCCTCCTCCCAGAGGGGAGGGGTTGTGAGCGGGAGCAGCCTCCCGCGGGGGCAGGGAGGCATATTCGGCTCCCTGCTCCTGATTGCTTCCGCTTCTGCTGCCGCGGCCAAGCCTCGCAGCCGACCAATAGGGCTGGCTGGTGGGCGGGGCTAAATGTGTTCAAACAGCCGAGGCAGTGCTCTGCTCCCAGTCTGTTCCTGCTTTCTTCGGATCTCCCTCCCTCGCTCCCTCCCTCTTAGGTCAGCTTCTTTTGCGTATTGACCTTGCTATGGACTTCAGTTGGTTGCCTTGGTTGCCCAAGGGGCCTGGTAGGACTTTTTTATCCATTTGGCAAATTGGCACCAGCCTCTTGGTTTTTTCGCCTACCTCGTAACAATTCGTCACAACTTTCTGGTATTGGCGGTAAGGCATTGGAATTATGTGTGCTGTGTTGGAGGATTGGGTATGCGCCATCATCTACCCCTCCTCTTTTGGGTATTCCGTTAAAGGAATCCGGCGGTTGTGGATCCTGTCCATTCCCTGCTAGTTGCTAGGGCCATGGCACGACCCCTGGTGACATCATGGGGGAGCTTCCAGTTGTATTTGCATCAACAAGTTCCTCCCATTGGTTGTTAACCCTGATATGACTCCTGGCTGTGCGGGGTGGTCTTGTATTGTTGTTTCATCCAATGCCTAAGCCAATACTACTCACATCTTGTAACCAATAAAAGTTGTGGCCTAATTTTGCCCATTAACCTAAAATAATGTGTCTGTGTGTCTTATTATAATCCTAGGTGGGTGGAGCGTCCTCGGCTCACAAGCATCTGGTTGTGAGAACAGGATGTTGGACTGGATGAGCCATTGACCCGATCTAGCAGGCCTGTCTTACATTCTGATGACTTCTGTGGCTTGCAGGCTGCATTTAGCCTCCTTCTCGGGTTCTCCAGATGGACTGCGTGCAAACTATTTGCTCGTCTCCCAGACGAGCTTCCCTGCATATGTAAAGAGGCAGCCCCATTCCATCACTCGACATGTCAAGGCAAAAGTAAAATAGAATGAAAACGACATAATGAAAGGATCACTGATCATACCTCCCAAAGGCTCTTTAATGCATGGATTACAAAGCACTTTGCAAGGCTGGGACAATTATTATTATTATTCCTAACCTTGCGTCGTAAGGTGGGAGGGCGAGCCCTCGACTAGCAGCTCCTGCCACCTCAGACAAGAACTTGACCTTGCTGCTGCTCCAGGCCTGGAAGCCTGCTGAGTTGGCCCTGGAGGCAGCCTTGGTTTCAGCTCCTCAATCTTCTCACCTTTCTTATGAGCCTAATAGCACCACTCGGTCTGGGTGTTGCACCTGATAATTGCCCAACAGTGGAGCAACAAATAACCCTTTGAGGATTACCAGCACCAGGCAGGTGTGAAGGAGTCTTGCAGGAAGCTGGAAAAGAGCAGAGTGCCCTTCCATCATCATACGAGGGATGAAGATGAATGACATTTCTCGAAGGGGCTTACATAGCATCCTTAGGTGGTCTCCCATCCACAGAGCCTGCTTGTTAGTGCTGCACCTGCTTACCTTCAGCAATACACCTACCTCATTAGGTGCCTTCAGCAGTTCTGAAAGCTTATGAGGGACGGTTACAACATTTCACTGCTTTTTTGAGTTGAGAGAAAAGGAGAGTAAGAGCGGGCATGGTAGAGGTGTATAAAATTGCACACAGGGTGGAAAAAGTAGATAAGGAAACGTTCTTCTCCCCCTCTCATAATGCTAGAAATCAGGGCATCTGATGAAGGCATCAGGGCAGATGGAAGAAAGGACTTATTAATGCAGGACATTTGTTAAACTGTGAAAATGGTTCCTACAGGAAGCAGTGGTGGCTTTTTGGGGGGTAAGTATATATTATGCAGAACTGTGTTAAAAAGGAGCTCTACTTGAAGAAAATAACACTAGAATGCTGATGAATTTCCATGAGGACTATTAAGAACACGCACACACAAACTGATGTGGAAATGTGGGGATTTGACAAATGAGAAAGTGAAATGGACAAGTTCTTTCATCCCTAATTCGGCAACATACTGAGTTCATCTGAAATACTTTCCCTTGCAGGGTTTTAAAAGAAGACTTTCAGAAATGTCAAGAGCCATGGACTTTGAACATCTGGCTCCACTGCCAAGTCATTATGGATGGTGCAACATTCTATGAATTAAAGACTGTTTGTGATCCGAAGGGGATAATCAAATAGATACTCACTCTAGTTTTCACACCTAGTAATTACCCTGGGCATTGAATTTCAAAGGCTTTGATGACTCCCACA